CCAAACATGAGTTTTTATATAATAATTACAATAAAATAACATTATTAATGGTTCACTAGAAAAGTTTTTATTATTCAACTGTTACACATCATGACCTTCTTTATGTAATAGGAATTTATCAGATAAAAATGCAGGAGCTTATATTCTAGGGGTGTAACAGCAATAGGCAGACAAACAAAAACAATAAAAAGTTAGCAAAGTATATAAAGTATTATATTTATTACAAAATTATAAATTAATAAGGGATATAGAGAAAAAAATAGCACAAGAAAGGGAGAAGAGTGGGGATTGGCAAGGAGGATGAGTGGGAAAAGTTGCACATTTAAATAGAGTTGTCAGGAAAAGCCTCATTGAGTGGACGCATTTGTGTGAAGAACTCAAAAGTAAGGGAACAATGTATCTCTCTGTACTTATTTCTAATTATTTTCCTTTATAATAATTTAATTTTGAATATGAAAGACACTGAGAAATAACTCTTTTCTCTAAATAATGACTGATTTCGAAATCATGTAAATGTAGCAAAACCACATCTGAATTATTAAGTTAAATGATTATTCAGAATGTAATTGTGACTTTCTATAATTATCACCTGTAAGAGAAATATGAAAATGTCCTCATAAAAAATATGAGACTAAATTGAACATTATGTAGCATCAATGACTACAGCTCTGATAATTTGCAACTTGCTCCTGAAACATGATTGAGCAGTCAGCAAACATGCAATGAATCAAGTGAATTATACCCTTACATTACAGTTCTAGAGTCCAGTCAAAGTCACAAACAATGTAGAAAGAAATGAATAATTTATTAGCTTTCTTTAATATTAAAAGTACTTGAAACACTGTAAGCAATGAAATGTCATAAGCTTACATTACAGATTTATATTTACAGAAAATTTATAATGTACTTTCTGTCATAAAATTTTATTACAGTTAGAAACACATTTTATAGAAATTAAGGAATTGTTATCAATACTCTAGGTGTAAAAACAGCATTTTAGTTATGCTTTATAAAATAAGATCTTATCTTCTAAGGGTATCTATTAAAATATTTATATATGAAATAACATATCTGACAAGGGACTTATCTCTAGAATTTATAGAACACT